TAAATAATATTAATTACTTCCATGTTTTGGGATATGTTTTGTCCCATCACAGACATATCAGAGGCCATTTAAAATTTACTTCTGCTTCATGTTATAAGACTTTTAAAAAGTTTATTTGTCTAGCTCTAAAATGCTATATTTCTTTTATACATTTGTGATTTTTTATAACTATATGCTTTTTTTATGCTTACTCATCCTTGAATGTTAAAAGTTTTATCCACACTTTGCATTTGTTCCCAAACAGGATGAACTCATTCTTCTTGGCTCCCTGCCTGTCTATTTGGAGGTTGTTAGAATCTTCTTCTTATATCTTAGGCTGCAGGATTGGTTACCTTCCAGCAGCCTGAAAGGATTGTGGAGGGAGCCATCTGGCAAGGAATGTCACCTTTGAAAGATTTCTTCTCAATGTTTTGCAAAGTCACTGTGCCACGAAACTAAAGGTTATCAGGTTCGTTCTGGTCTTGCTGTCTTCCTGGCCAGCAGTCAGATTGGATGCCGGCTGGGCATTCTCCTGACATTGCCAGTATCAGAGAAACACTTGACACCCAAGGTAAAGTGCCCCCTCATTATATGCAATGGGCCATTTTCATTTTCATGAGTATTGAGAAAGAAGATTCAGAAGTCTGGACCAGGCCTACTTTTGTCTGGAAGCATTCTGATTATCTATTGCTCCATAAAATGAACCCCAAATTTTGTGGTATGAAACAACAGCCATCATCCACTATTGTTATTCTTTATGATTCTGGTGACTTAGTGGGCTCAGCTAGGTGGTTATTGTGGTCTCACACCTGGCTCTGTGAGACAAGGACAATACTGGTGTTACCTCAAGACTTTCTCACTCACGTGGCTGGCACTAGGACTGGGAAATTCAAGCTGCTGGTTTGAAACAGCTGGGCTCCTCTGACTTTTTTTTTAAAGATTTATTTATTTATTCATACAGAACTGGGGTGCAGGCCAGAGATGCAGAGGGTGAGAGGATTCACCAGAGACAGGGTGGGGAGCAGAACAGGCAGATCGACCAAGCACACTGCTGAGGGGAGCAGCAGGTCGGCCAGGAGAGGTCTGCCACACCATGTGGACTCCTCCAGGGCAGATGGGAATCGAACTCATGCAGAAGTGGCTTAAGCTTCTCAGGGCAGTGCTTTAACCCACTGCGCCACCAGGGAGGGCCACCTCTGATTTTTTTAATTAAACTATTTTCTTATATCATTGTTCATTTTTGTACAGTATTTGATTTCTCCCCTCAGGTGAAGTCCCTATAAATCTCCCTCCACATCACCCTAAACCATTAGCATTCTCCCTTGTGCACTTCTATCCCATTTTGACCCATCTCCCTCCCCTTCCCCGGATAGGTGCATCAGTTCTATATTTTGCCTCCAAGTTTTGCCTTTTATTTCCTTTGATGCTTTGTTCAGTTTCCTTGTATTCCTCCTATTAGTACAAGCATCAAGCAATTTTCTTTTTCCTTCTGACGTACTTCACTGAACATAATTTCTTCTTGCTTTGTTCATGTTGCTGTAAATGGTATCGGTTTATCTTTTTGATCACTGAATGGTATTCCACTCATTTGTTCTCAGGCATTTAGGTGGTTTCCACATCTTTGCTGTTGTAAATAATGCTGCAATAAACATAGAGATGCAGGTTTCCTTTTTAAGTAATATTTTTGTGTCCTTTGGGTAGAAATCTAGGACTGCAACTGCTGGGTCATGTGGTAGATCGAGTTTTAATAATTTGAGGGTCCTTCACAGCTTTCCATAGTGGTTGAACCAGTTTGCATTATTCCACTGACTCTTTACCTCCATTGGTTTGTCTGTCCATATAGGACCATAATTAGGGACAGAGTGAGGAAGGAGAAGATGGTTGTAATAGACATCAGCTATCTATAATAATCTTTTCCTGATAACTGCACCCCCTCTTCTATTAGTCTCTGCAACTTGGTGACTTCAGGCAGCTATACTTATTACATGGCCCATCAGGGCTCCAAAGGCACATGGTTTAGGTGAGAGAAGTAGATGGAAGCCATAGAACCTTTCAAGGATAAACTTGGAAGTTAGATAACATTACATTTGTTGTATAATCACAAAATCCTACCCAAAGTACCCACTCAAATTCAAAGAGAGGGGACAGAAATATCAATTTGTTATTCACTTTTTTATTTTTCACTTTTTTTTAGCCTTTACGGTTTACCACACCTTCTGAATGATTCTTAAGAAAAAGTATGAGCCATAATTTCTTGTGCATGCCTCAAAATATTTTCACTTACCCCCATACTAATACTGTGGTTTGGAAACAATATTGGGAATAATTTCCTCTCAGAATTGTAAAGACATGTTCCACTGTCTTCCAATTTCATATGTTGCTGTGGAGAAATCTGATGCCATTCTGATGAGCCTTTTTGCAAAACTTCATTTTTTCCTCTGGGTGTTTGTAGGATATTTCTTATGACCCCAGTTTCTGAAATTTTATCATGATGTGCCTTGGTGTGATTCTTATTTTGTCCATTATACTGAGCTCAGAGAGCACTTTCAATGTAGAAACTCATGTTCTTTATTTCTACACAAATATAATTGAATTATTTAGTTGATTTATTTTCCTGTTCCCCAGATGTCCTGAAATGCTTCTCGCTCCCTCCACCTTCTAAACTTACTCAAGCAAAAGCATCTGTTCAATCTAAGTAGAAATTAAGAACCATAAAATTTGTTCACCCTTGAACATGGCATTTTTTTCCCTAAAAACAAAAAGTGCCTACAAGGTTTTTTTTGTTTTTTTTTTTTTAGTCTCTGAGTTCAGGGATAGAGCGCAGCTCCTTCACCCTTCAGTCTGGGCAGCCACTAACGACTTTTATACCTATAGAATGCCACAGAAATAATGTTCAAGGGTTTCCAGATTTAGAGACGCAGAAGCCAACTTCTCCGGGGGTCTTTTAGAGCATCCTTTCTGGGAACCCTGAGTCTCCATGTAGGAAGTCCAGCTACTCTGATACTGCTAAGTGCAGAGAGCACATGTAGGCCTGAAGACTGACAGTGCTACAGAGACCAGCCTGCCAGCTAACCATGGTGCCAACCATGTGAGTCTTCCAGACAGAGCCATCTGCCATCTGAACAGATGGTAATTGACCTTTGTGATGCCAACTTGAACAGTAGAATGCCCCAACAAAGCCCTGTCCAAATTCAGACCCATCAAAACCAAGAGATATAGCACAATGGCCATGCTGTTAAGTCACCAAACTTGGATGGAGTTTGTTAAGTAGCTTTAGATAACCAGAACATCCTGACCATATCTGGTATGCCCTCATTCTAAAGATCCTCTGTTTTATTCTCTCCAGGTATTGTGTTCTCAATCTTGTATCTGAGTGAAAGAGGGACATATGGTGTTGGGAAGGAGAAGGAGGGAACTGACTACATATATATATACATACATACACACATATGTATATGTGTGTGTGTGTGTGTGTGTGTGTGTATATATATATATAGGCTTAACTATATACCTACAATCAGAGGCACTTGGTACAGCAAATTACTGCATATTCTGAGATATTTCTTGTTCCCTGTTTTTGGGAGATTGAAAAATAATCTATTATTGTTTTAGTTGGAATTCCTGAGGGAACTGCCTAATGCAAATGTATTAATTCAGCTGTCTTTAATTTAAAGACTCCTTTGAGTCCTTAACCAACAATTATATTAATTTTTAAAATACTCTGTCTTAGATCAGGTTCCTTAGAAGCAGAAGCTGAGATAGGGATGTTCAAGTAAATGTCTTGTGAGGGAATATTCTCAGGAGTAACAGTAAGTGAGAGAAGTAGGCTAGCCTAGAGAAGATGCACAGCAGGTGTGTGTTCTGTGGAAAGTTAGCATAAGCTAAGGGAGATCTGGAACATGAAAGGAATCATGACTTATTCCAGATCTAGAAGTTAGCTTTAACTGTGACTTTTTAGCCTGATCTGAGGGCTGTTATGGGAAAAAGGGATACCTGTGAGCTGGGTGTACCTTTTTAGTAATGGTGATCTCTGCAGGATGCAAATAGCATCTACTCCATTCCTAACATCTACCAAGAGTAGCCTAATTATTGTGCTTTATTATTTTTTAAAGATTTATTTATTCATGCACATAAAGGTATACAGGCCAGAGGTAGGTGAGGAGTTTTGAGAGCATTCACCAGAAACAGTGGGGAGCAAAACAGTTGGATCTACTGAAATACACTGATGAGGGGAGCAGCAGGTGAGTCAGGAGAGGTCTGCTGTGCCATAGGGGTCAGCCCCCTGTCGGATGCTGCAGTGACTGCTGATAGCTTCCACATAACCCCTTGAGACTTAAGCTGAGACTTAACCTCTTGTCACTACCAGGAAGGCCACACTACCTGTTGTTTTTGAAGGGATGCAGCAGTCTCTCTAATCTCTCTGAAGAGACTAATTATTTCATTATTTCCCATTATTTTTCATGTTAATTTTGTTGCATCAAGGTTTGTTATTACTGAAGCTCAGAAACGATAAACACAGAAAAGGGACAGAACCAAGCCTAGAATCCACATCAGTCTGATTATTGCTCTTAAACTGTGTTAAACTATCTATATTAGCTACATCTTAAAGAAATAATTTAATGTTACCCTTCTGGGTTTAAATCCAACAGTCATTTGAATTTGGTCTCCTGGATACCAAACACACTCGCTGAAATAACTTAACCTCCTGTTAAATAAAACAGAACTTTTGCTGTAGACCTCATCTGGGACTACTCCTAACTCCTGTCCACAAATTTCCCCTGTCTGCTAGACACAGAAGGTAAGCAAACTCGCTTTTTCTCAACGGAGATAGGGAACTACTTTTTGCAATGCCCGTTTTGGTGGGAAAAGGGAAATGAAATACTGTTCACTTTTGCAGCCTTAGGCTCAGCATGACTAAATAGAGTTTTGCCGGAGAAAGCGGCAGTCTAGCTCCCCCTGTAGAATCGGGTGCAGCTGAGAAAGCGTTTGGGAGAGGCCCAGGGCCTCGGCCCTCCCAGGGGGTGCGGGCGCAGCGGCACCAGCACCGGTAGACGTGGAGAATCCAGTTGCTGGGATTCTTGAGGGTGCTGGAGCCCAGCTGGGCGGTACCCAGCGAATTGTGCTTTCTGGGCAAGAAACCAGGCAAGGACGTTGGAAGAGCAGGAGTGGTCACCTCCCAGGGCACAAGCACTTGCCCCGGGTAGTCCCCAGCGTGAGGGCGAGGTCAGCCCCTCCCTGGGCCCAGGTGAACTTCTCCACGGTGGATTTTCCGGTCCCGTGGACTGAAGGGGAACTCCCGCTCAAGTCTCCACCCCTAGTGGGGCGGGTCCGTTCGGAATAAGACCCGCTGCCGGGAGCAGAGGGAGTGACCTGCCCCGCCACAGCAGAGTATCGCTGCCGGTGTCTGCAGGAGCGGTAAGTGGGCCCTGGGCCAAGGGACTTGGGCTTTAGGGAGGGGAGCGACTGCCCTGGAGAGCCTCCTGGGGATGGCGGGTCCTGAGAAGTTCCCAGGAAGGGGTGCCCCACGCCGGCCTGCGGGCGGGGCGCGCCACAGGGTGGAGCAGGAGCCGACGGGCCAGGGCTCTGCCCCAGTGTGTACAGGGAGAAGACGCGACTCTAATCCACCAGCACTTTGAGAAAAACCTCCTGAGCTGTTGATGCAGTTCGGGAGGCCTTGTCAGAAGTTATGTATGGAGTTCATGTGCCGTGCACTGTGCTGCTGGCTTTGGGATTTAAAAAGAAAAGATTGAGTTAGACTGCTTGGAGCTGACTCCGCTTAACACTCAAGTTTTACTTTTAATTTTACTTTTAATTTTAATTTTCTGAGACACTTCCTTTAGTTTCTTCTTTTTCTCTCATGTTTCTAATGCCCTCGCATAATGTCTGGTACATGTCATGAATTGGGTTAGCTGGAAACTTGGGGACCAAAGAAGTTAGTGCTTTTCAACAGCCTAATTTGAAATGCTCCCCAAATTGATGCAAGTTTTCTGCGAGCTGTTTGGAGCATTGTGGGTCCTGAGTGAGCCACAACTTTCATGAAAAGTGGGTACTTTCTGTCTTTAGCTAACAGTGAGAAGAATGGATAAATCAACTCCTCCAAATTATCCATCCCACTGCCCATCAATTCCAGGACTCCACTTTTCTCTTTTCATTGCAAGTAACTCTAATGATAGCCCCATCCTAGGTCTTTCATTGCCAAGAACTCAGGTGATAGTGGTGGAAGAGCAAGCAGAAGAAAAGGGCAAAAATGAGAAAATGGGTAGCTGCTTTCTTCACAGCGTCTATCTGGGCAGGCCAGGTCCCCTCCATTCTGCGTAGGTCAGATTTCTATTGCTTTCGGGTCACATACACACTTATACATACATAAGCATATACACACTTAGAGCTGCTAAGTCAAGGATATCTATGAATTTCCCCCCTAGATATTCTTGCATTTGTTTGGGGATAATTTTTCCCTGGAAATCAGGTAGAAAGTCACTTACACTGTCAAGTCAGACCATGGTAGGTTCCTCAGCATGTCAAGGGTAAGTCTCCTGGCCATGCCCCAGACTCATGTCTTGTGGCCCATTCTTTTGCTTACGTCTAGGCACTCCTTTGCTTTTTTAAACTTGAGCGTCTACCTGTGGACTGAGCCTTCTCTTCTCCGAGGAACATGGGATGGAAACTGAGAATGGTCAACAGTGTGCCAGGGAGTACCTGCAGCTTCAAAATAATAGGATTGTCAGTTCTACCTAAATAGTTGAAGATAAAGCCCTTCTTGTTTTAAAACAATCTCAGGATATATTTTGGAGCAAATATTTTAATATAAACAAGAAACTTGAAAAAAAAGTTTTGTCTGGGACTTTGAGCTGTGATAGTCCCAAACCTAGACCTTGAGGAAACTCTTTCACTGCAATTAGGGCTCGTTATAAAGGCAGTTTGATAGGTGCTACATTATTCTTCTTTGAGGCACTTGAATAGCAGCCTTCCTATGTTACTTGTTTAATCTTAATTTCAGCCTGAGGCAGAGTTATTAATCTTGTCTTACAGGTAAGTATCCACATTGTGGTTCTCCGTCAAGGTCAGACCACCTATAAGCAGATTTATTTTCCTCTCTGTTGTGACTCCATCATTGCTTTGGTCAGTGATTTAGGATGTGAATTTGTGACATTTCTGGTTTAACTAAATCAAATGTTTTTATTTTCCTTTTCAACTTTTTTTTCATGTGAAGCTGACATCTGAGATATGGTTGAAGAACTGGAGTCATTTCAACTAGGGAGGGAAGATTGTGTAGGTTATGGGAACACGTTAAGGATCCTAAATTCTTGAGGGGCTTTGCATATATGTGAGGGAATAAATTCACTTTGTGGTGTTGGGAGAGCTGAATAGGAGTTTTTTGAATAGTGGCTTTTGAATCCCACAGACTGGGTAACCTTGGAGTTGATGAGAGCTCACTCAGCAGCTTAGGTGTCTAAGCAGAGGCCCTGCAGCCCCTTTAAGCTTACCTAAAGGGTAAGCTCAAGCCATAATTCCAAGATTTCAGGGCACATCAAAATCCACCAAGACACTGGTGTAACATGTGGATTCTTGACCCAGGCCCCCCAAAAAATTGATCCAGAGTGACAGGTATGGAGCCCAGGGATCTGCATATCTTATATGTGTCATTATGACATGTGGCAGTGGGATGAAAAAGGATTTTTCAGAGTTCACATGCAGAACAATGAGAAGCTTAGAGAGACTATACCACCAAGGTGCAGCCCATGTTCAAGGACAGTCTCATTTTAATTTAGAATCAGACCAGAAGTAAAAAAGATCAAAGAAGCAAGCCGACAAACAGGGAATGCACATGTGTATAGGGGAGGCATAACCGGTTGGCCCCAGCCACGGTTGGGAAAGAGGGAAAAAGTCAAGGAAAGTCTCACTGTTTATGCTACTTTAACCATGACATCTATTTCTCTTTCTGTACATTTTGTTTTCATTATGTAGAGATCCTTATACCAGGACTTTTGCTCCAAGAGGTTCCTTATGAACTGTCCCTATTTCTACACACTGAGAGGCACAGAATACTCAAAGAATAATCAAGAAAAAAAACACAGAATAGTTGAGGCACACAATAGCCCACTAATAGATTCCTTCGATCAATATGATTCCAGTGTTTCCTGGACTTCACTATGAGAAACATATATAGATATGTGGTAAATCAAGTAAAGCATTAACAAAAGCAAAAGACTTCAGGGAACTTAGGCCTATCCTTACACTATATACTCTAGGTAATGTGGTAAATGATGGAATTGACCCCACTGCTCTTTATTTTAGCTATCATATCAAATTCACCTAGTTTACAGTGCTTGATAACCATAGAATATGATTTTTAATCTTGCTTCCAATTCTGTTATTGATTAGTTTGGCTCTTCTTTACCTGGTTCCTAGAGGAACCTAATAGACCTCCAATTGCATGGTGGGGAAAAGCTCTGTATTTAAATGGCTTAATTGGTTCCATGTGTCTTTACCTACAAAAGCAGAGACAAGATCTAGATGGGATCCATAACAAGCTATTGACTAGGTAGACCAGCTGGAGCAGGGCCTTCTGTCAGACATAATCCTAGCAGTGAGGGCAGGTAATGCACACTGAGGTGGCTGGACCTCCTCTTCAGCCTGACTGTGTCTTAGTCTGTGAGGGCTCTGCCTTTCTCTATGCTGGGACTGCTGTGCTGCAGGAATGAACAGCTAGTGTTCACCAAGCATTTATCACGAGCCCAACTCTGTTCCAAGCACCTGGCATGTATTTTATTAAATTTTCACCCATATTAAGTGTGTGCTACTGATTATCTGTTGTACAGATGAGGGAGCTTAGGCATGAGGGGATTGAGTAATTTACTCAAGGTGACATACTAACAAGTGGTAAAATCAAGACTTGAACTTGGCAACTGATTCTATATCCTGTGCTTTTCTACTCTGTTGTATAATAAGTTTAAAATTGGGAACCAGCCTGATAAAGCAGGCTTGGTAGGTTAAACTGATTCTTTTGAAGAAGAATAGGTAGAACCTATGTCCGAGCTACTTGCCCAGAATGAACTTGATCTTTATTGAAACCACTCTTAAGTATCAAGGAGGGATCCCAGCTGACAGGTAGGAGAAGTAGAGAACAGACATTGAAACTGGACAATGTGCTGATCTTGATTTTCATGACCAGTTCCTAGGGGGGCAAGAATTGGGGAAGCATCTAAAGGCAGGAACAGCATCTTCAGAAATTAAGCATTATGTCCATGGTGCTTACCAAATGGAAAGATTCACTTATTTTTTATATAATGTGACAGACTCTAGCTATTCTAGGATGAAACACAGGACCTCATCCTTAAGGAAATATTCAAGTAAATCATCAATTCAGAAATCATGGGACTGTCTGATAAATAATTTGATATGTTATCTAAAACTACTTATGGAATAACAGAGGAAGTACACTCAAATCCATCATAGATAGTCAGACGGCTTCCTGGAGCAGGTGACCTTTATACTGGGAGTGGAAATGGACAAGAAAGGGTTATGCCTCAATGTGGGGATGGGAAAGCACTGGAAAAGTGGCATATCATTCAGGGTGTTTTCCAGAGGGGCAGGCCTGTAGAAATTAAGGTCATTCTATAAACCTTTGGGGAAAGAGCTAATCAGTATTGGGAGTCAAGTCTCAGAGGGTCCAAGAATTTCATGGTAAGAACTGTTGCCCTGGGTTCTAAATCCTTACTTTCTTTTGCATCTGCTCCAGTGCATAGCACAGATATATGAATGATAAATGTTTCTAAATAAAATGAAAGTGTTGAATTCCAGGAAGGAAATCAAAGCAGAGATTCAACCTTGAAGAAGCAAGTCTCCCTGCTTCCCTGTCGAGCAGCTGGGCAGCTCTTCAAGGTTCAGCTTGAACATCATTTTCTTTTCTAATTGACTTAATCTGGGTGAGGGGTTTCTACCTTGCTGTAATTGTCCCAAACACAGGAATGACTGCAGCTTATTGAGTCTTGTTATAGACCTGTGTCCACTTAGCTTGAACTATTCTGGAGATAGGGACCAAGCAGCTCCCAGCCCTGCATCTTGCAGTAAGTGTGTGCTCAGCAAAGTTACACTATATAACTATATGATTTACCATCGCCTGGAAAATTTAGTCCAATCTCCAAGCCCAGTCTGCCCCTAAATGACTTATTTTTGAAAATTACTTTCCCAGCATTTTTCTCCCTTGACTCCCTTCATGTCCTTAAAGCTCCAGCCCAATGCCAAATGAACTCTTCTCCAACCAAGTCTTACTTTTCATAATCATAGCTGAGGCATTATATTTACTGTTCTCTCTGCCTGCAAACTCTTTTCCTATTGAAATTCTATCTACCTTTCAAAGTCATAGTCAAATGGAAGCTCTTTTAAATCGTGTGTGTATTGGGTAGGGGAGGAGC